TTCCGACATTTTTGTCATTTTGGACATTTTCAACACGGTTTTGGGCGATTTTTCAGAGAGAATTCACGGAGAAACTTGAAGTAAGACACATGTGATCATTGTTAGTCAATTATATTGGATTATCATTGAATATTTCGAATAGATTACATGTTTTTGAGGTGAAATTAGAGGATTTGGGCCTAGGAATTTCAAAATGAGAATTTGAGATTTGGAGGTCAAGTTGATGTCGGATTTCAGTAAAAATGGTATGGTTAGAATCGTGGTTGAATGGCCGTTCATATTTCATAATTTTTGTCGGATTTCGAGATATGGGCTCCACGGGCGATTTTTGAGTTAATTTCGGATTTTTATTGAAAAATATAGTATTTTCTTATGGAATTGATTCTATAATTTTTGTTGAATGTATCGAATTAATTATGACTAGATTCGAGTCGATCAGAGTCAAAAAATCGAGGAAAAAGCATACTACTTGGTTAAATTGGAGCAAGTCGAGATAAGTGACTTGTCTAACCTTATGGGGGAGGGGGGGAGGGGGATCTCCCCTAGGATTGGTATTGAAGTGATAAATTATAATGTGTTGATTGTCGTGTACACGAGGTAACGAGTGTGTACACGGGATAAATGTAAAAGATTATATTTTTAAATTGTGTAGATCATTGTTGCGCATTAATTAAATTATTTTATTCTAATATATTATTCATCATTGATTTAATGTTATATTTTAAAGTTGCTTGACCTTTTCCTGCTAATTGTTTTACCTGTTTAGTTGAAACTTAATTTCTTTTATTATGTGCATTATTTGAAGTTGATTTTCTTTAAATTAGATATTATTAATATGAAGTATTTGATATTTTTAAATTTGGTATTGAAATAACTTATTAAAGATTTTGAAATATTATTTTGTTGAATTATTTATTCCTGAATATTTTTGTAAGATTTTCGTACTCATTGTGATGGAACCGTGAGTTATTGATGATTTATTTTAGCATGAGCCGTGAGCTCTTTATTGTGGAAAAATATTGTTGTTGAATTATTTTGGCAAGTTAAATTATTTGAGCACTTGAGGTGCATATTGTGATATTGATACGCATGTGGTGGTATAAGGTCTGGGTATTGAAACGCATGCGATGAGATAAGGGTGGCTTGATACGGGTGGCTAGTAGGGGAAACTACTAGAAGTCATGCGGTGTGATAAGGATGGCTAAAACGCGGGATGTTATTTCGGGAAAAATATTTTTTTTAAAATAAATTGTGAAGGCTCCCGCAGTTGAGATAAGGAAATGAGATATTGTGAATTTATTTATGATTTGGGATTACGAAGCGGTACCTCGGGAGTGCCCTTGTGGATATTGATTTATGGCCGCAGTTGCCTTTGATTATTGTTGTAATTTTCTTAAAGTTGAAAGGAAATTATGTTTTGCTTCCACGAGGTATTAATTGTCATTATTTGGTGTAACTAAATGGTGACATACTACTTGATTCATTTTCATTGTCATTTTATCTTATTATATTGTTAAACATCTTACCATGTTATTATTTATTTTTTCAGTTGGGCCTGACCTGACCTCGTCACTACTCTACCGAGGTTAGGCTTGGCACTTACTGGGTACCGCTGTGGTGTACTCATACTACGCTTCTGCATATCTTTTTGTGCAGATCCAAGTACATCTTATCAGACCAGGCATCAGTAACTAGCTGTACGAGGAGATTTCGAGATATATCTACCAGCGTCCGCAGACTCCGGAGTTCCCTTCTATCTTACTATGTTGTATTCCTTATTTGCTTTAGACTCTGATATATAGAGACATAGAGAATAAATTCTTAGAAGCTTGTGACTTATTTCTACTGAGTTTTGGGAGTTGAAAATGTTTGAATTGTAGTTTATTTATTCCAGATATCTATTATTATTTCGCACTGATAGTCTTACCTAGTCTTAGAGACTAGGTGCCATCACGACCTCCTACGGAGAGAATTTGGGGTCGTGACAACTTAAGGCCAAATAGGTCTGAAGTGCAACCAATGTTTTAATGCACTTGTGGCTAAATAGGCTTGAAGTGTTAATTGCTTATAAACATAAATTTGTTTTTCGAATTTTAATAATCTAATATATGATTTAACACCTAAATCTATTCCAAATGAGCTCAAATTTGAAACATAACCTCCAAATATCATCAAGAACAAACTCCAATCATCAATTTGTCAAAACAACAACAAAATTTAACGAATCCATTTTGCAATTAAGAAGAAGAAGAAACCATAAGAATTAGTAAAAATTAAAGCGCTACAGCAGCTAAGCACTATGAAACATCATAATCTATCTTAAAATATGTTTACAAATATCCTATAAAATCAATGTCATCCGAAGAAGAAGAAGAAGAAAGAGGAGAAAAAGGCCTGAAGTTGTTTAAATTTTGGGTACTAATTAAAAAAATCTAAAAAGTAGGTACAGGTTAAATTGGGGCAACCAAATCAGGCGCCCCCTGCAATTTTTACGAATTTTACATGTGTCATTTGGTTATTTGTTACTTTGCCACATCACTCGCGCTTGTAGCACACCACGTGAGATCTGCCAGATCGGGGTTGTCAAGTTGAAGTGTCTACATGATCAATAGGTTAAGTGTCTGTTTATGTATTTTACCATTATATTAGGGAAAAATTCATAAATAGCTAGATTTATAAGTGGTAATTGAAAAATAGCCACAGTTTCAAAAGTAATCGAAATTTAGCCACTTTTCATATAAAGATAAATCTGAACGAAAACACTGTTCAAAATCTGGAAAATATTCTAGCATAATATACTGGAACTCCAGTATATTTCCAGCATAATATACTGGAGTTCCAGTACAATATATCAGTCCAGCATAATATGCTGGAGTTCATACACAGGTGAACCAATCTCCAGTATATTATGCTGGACCGGTCCGTGTTGCAGCAAAATAGTGATTATTTTTCAATTACCAGTCCGAAAACTGACTAGCCTGTGCTATTTTTACATTTTAATATTGTGAAAAACAGTCATAGATAGGATTTTTCATGCAGTTTTAAGTTGTAACTTTCACTTTCCATGTTTAAATTGGTCAACATCACTTTTGCCTCAAATATTTATAATCTTGACGTTTAACTGTAATCTTGACCTTTAAAAGTTAAACTATATAATATAAACAGAAATAAGGCAAATAATAATAGAAGTTATGTTATACACGACATTATAAATAACTAGTACACTATCACCGCAGTTTAATTGCTATAAGCAATTACCCTTCTATTTTCTAGGTTACTATATTGATCTTGATTTGAATGTGTATAGTGCATCATTTTTTCCTGATGATGTAAAAAGCATATGTACTACGTAGCAGGGGCGTAACTAGAGTGTTGGGAGCGGGTTCGGACGAACCCAGTAATTTTGGTTCGAACAATGTATTTGTCTTAAAAAGTTCATTAATTATGTATATATTATTAGTTTAGAACCCGATAACTTAAAGCAATTAGAATTCCGAACTCATAAGTTGAAAATTCTAGCCCCGCCTCTGCTACGTATCTCTCAATTAGTACAAAAAAACTTAAATTCACAATGGTAACGGTGGGTGGAAGAGCGTGGCATAGAATTATTTCTCTATCATTATTGAAGTAGACAAAGAAGATGGGGCGAAATAGTCAGCAAACAACAACAACAACAACTCAGTGGAATTTCACAAGTAGGGCCTGGGGAGGGTAGTGTGTACGCAGACTTTACTTGTACTTTGGAGGAACCTCTGTTCCGGAAGAATAGAGAGGCTGTTTCCGAAAAGCCTCGGCTAAATAGTCAGCAAATAATCCAAGATTAGCACTAACAATGTTCTTTTTCAAAAAGTTGATGGAGCTAGCTAAAGGTAACGGTCATGAAATTTGAAAAAAGCTTCACATTGTATCATTTTCTTAACGGATAGTATCATTTAATCCCCATCTCTGTATTCCCCTTTTTTGAGCATTTTGGTTTACACATCACAACAATCATCTTTGACACCCTCATTATTGAGAAAAGACAGCCAATGAAGTTAACAAAAGCAATGAAGAAGCTCAAGTTCTGGTCAAGGAAGAAGAAGAAAAAGAGAGCTCCTCTTCTTGAACAACCACCATCACCGCCACCACCATTGCTCCCCTGCTATTATCAATGCCCGTATAATTACTCAATTCAGCCGTCAGCACCGCCCTTGCCACCTTGGTTCGAGTACGAGCAGCAGCAATTACATGACTCCATTTTCACAACAGAGCAAGGTTCAACTTCGACATCAGAAAATCTGAGCCAAACTCATGGTACTAATTCGCAGCACTCCTATAATGTTAGTGAGATCAATCAACCAAAGCCAACACCGTCGGATAATACTTTGCCTCAACAGTATATGGTTCCGAATCCAGTGTATGGTGTACCTGTGACAACAGAAGGCAGAACAGAGAGAGCTGGAGGAGCTTTTGGGTGTGTGATCAATTTTGGAGCTCATTTATTCAGGTGTTTCTTTCCCTGTTTTCATGTTCGAGAATTGAAGTAAGCCGTATGGAAAGCATATAATATCAGGCTACCATTTCATTGCAAAATTGAGTTTCCTATTTCTTCTATATTAAAGTTATTCAGGAGTGATTTTTTTATCGACTTAATCATTAAGGTCAAGTAAGTTTGAAAACATAAATGGATGCAAGGTTGTTTTTTATTCATGAATGTGACTGTGAGTGTCATGCCTCAGCAACAAAATTTCCCACCTACACATATGGTGTATTATCACTTTTAGCCCGCGCCAGAAACTATATACGTTCCATAGCCGAAAAAAATTATAAAATTTATATAATTTTTGTATATAGCACACAGAATATATATACAAAAAATATACATTTTTCGGTTATTATTTTAAGAGCGGCTATACATTGTCATTTTCCCTATAGATATCTCTCCCTCATTCTTACTGAACATATATGTCAAATTATGTCTTAGCTCTATGACATTGAATAAAATGATTTTTTTGGGCAAGTAAATGAAATGAATTTGTATTTCATATAAAAGGAAAAATCCAGAAAATTGACAAAACCGAAACAAAATCTGACTCTATGCAGTTTGGCTTAATTTGTATATCTAATAAACCGACATAGTTGGTTTGGTCTCGATTTACATAAAAATCGAACCATGAGCACTCCTACACTTGAGTCACATAAATAGTGGCATCACCTCCACCTAACCTAAACCTCTGTATATGGACACCATTGACGGAAATGCCTCAATTTTATATCTACAAATACAGAGATGCTGCAAAGACAATGTCCCTCTTGATCTTGGCTACAGCCTCTTTAAATTTTGCCTCATGCTCTTCATCCCCAACCTTTTGTGCAGCTAGTATAAGCTGCTGAAGAACTTCCTCCAGTCTCCTGATAGCCCTGATTAAACTGCCCTCAAACACCTGAGTAATCTCCATTATCTCATAAAACTTAGATCCTGTAGCCCACGCATAGACAGCCTCCATGATATCAGGCCGGAATGAACTCACAAAGTTCTCAACGTCTATTTGGACCTATTGAAAGCACAATGGAGTTTAGACAAAAATGGTAAACAAGAAAGTGATACTTTGCATCTACAAGTAGTTGCACTTTTGGTTGCAGATTATGGAGGGTCTTCGGTAATAAGTTTCTCAACTCACATTAACAATTGAATCAGATTCAACAAATTAAACTCATGTTACTAATTCAAATCACTGATAACGTAGAAAATGTTTAATAGAGTCCGAAAAACTGAAAGTTAGATAATAACCCAATGACATGTTCATTCAGCTATTGTATTTAATACCATAATTATCAAGCTTTATCAGCATAATTATTCAGATGATGCATACCTTGCTCTCGAGCTGAACTTTTGCAACCCTTCGAGCTGTATCTTGTAACTGCGCAAAGAGCAACTCTAGCTCTTCCCTGGGCTTCTGAGTATCCTGAAGCTTTTCTTGCCACACAAAACAAGAGAGAAGAGAGACAAGCTCCTCGACTTTAATTTTCTCGAAGGTCCCATTAAACATCAATTCAGTCAAGGTCAACTCATCTGCGGTGCTGATTAAACAGGCAACATTCCCTTTAGACTCCAGGACATCCTCACTTGTGATGTATCTGCATGATTCCCAACCTCATAAGCACCTTCATGCAACAGACTGAAGTCATAGAGAACAAAAGAATTCTGGGGGTAGAAACCATGAGAGAATACATAACATGATGAAGAAGCAAGTACCATACCAGACAGAGGATCCAAAGTGCATGTCAGAAACATAGATGGTTCAATAACTCCGCTGAGGTCTCTTTTGCATTAATGTTTATCCTAAGTTTTAAAAAAAAACATTTGCCACATACAAATAGAATTAACAACAATTATTTGCATGGTTTTCTCTTAAAAGCAGGCTACTTATATGTAGCTCATAGTCTACACTGTCAAATCCAAATATACCCATGAAAGTACCAGATATCAAAGGAAAAGGATCTGAATTGGAGTAAATATTTGGGAGGATGGGCTCATTACAACACTAGAAGCATTTTATATGTTTAGTACACCTTTGAAAGGGTAAAACAAGTTGGCAATATAATACTGAAGAAAAAAAGGAGAAGAAAAAATAAAAAATAAAAAATAAATAAAGCAGCTCAACTGTTAAAAAGTTTCAGTAACTTTATAAGAGGAAACAATAACAATACAAACAGCATGTTCTAATGCAACTTCAAAGAAGAAACACAGTCTGTCTGCAAAACCAATATAAGGTTGGTAAGATAGAGAGGTGAATATACCTGAGTCTCCTGAGAACTCTTTTCCTTGCTTTAAGTTCATCTTTGAATGCTAAGGCTTTTGAAGTACGCATTGCTCTCTTAATTGATCTGATTTTGCCAGTAAGTTCTTTCTTCTTATGCAAAACCANAGAGGCATGCCCTCTCTTGAAAATCTATTGAGAACTTCAGAAACCTTCTTTAGTGTATTTTCTCTAACTTCCGAAGGCAAAAGATCCTTTGGTATCACAAGACGGACACTGCTCAAACTATCAATCTGTCAATAATTTGTTTAGCAGAAAATACATCAGGTACACCAACAAGTGAACAACAGGTCTAAATTTAATTTGCATGAACGACGTTGTAATTTAATTCTCACTTTCATGACCTGCTAGAGAGCAGATACATGCAACACATGATTAGAATGATTAGCATTCAGATGCAGAAAGAGAAGGCAGAAAAATTAAAATGAAGAAGTGGCCACACTGCAAAAGTAGAAACAGGACTTGGGTGTTACCAGAATGATTAGCAGTTAAAACAACATCTACACCGTAACTCCATCCATAATAGTTTGGTAGTAGTTAAGGTAATACGGGAGAATGTAGATCAAAATAACCTGATTTAAAAGGTGTAGCAGGAATGTTCTTTTAATTTTTCCCTTTTTTATAGTAAGGTTGCACTGAGAAATGACAAATTACCAAGACTACCGAATTTGTTCCAACAATATATTGTTACCTTTCTCAAAAATATGCACAGATGAGTATCAAGAGGAAATTGCAGATCTATTTGTACTTTAGCACCAAGAAAGAATCAGCTATGCTTTATCTAAGTAGTTTTTTAGTTGAAATGTAATTTGTGAAGGACTTCTGCAACTAAAATGTGGTCTGCAAGTCGGAAACCTACTATCTCTCACCAGCACAGGCATAGTTAACTCTATCCAGCAAGGCTTAGGAACAAGGGAAAAATTTCCCTAGCATCTTAACTTAATAAATTTAATGTATCATCAGATATTGCTAGCAGCAAAATATGCATAAGAAGCTTACCTGGGACAAAGGAAGAGAAACAACAGCTGGTTCCCCAGCATTCTTCAACGGGACAATTTTAATCGTCTTTCTACCAACCTCATCCTTCTGCACTATACATCTCGTAAGTACATCTATCGTATAGTTCGCATCCTCCGGTTTTTTGTTTGCGTCATCTGAACATAACATTCGACTAAAGGTTAAGAATCTAACTAGCAAGAGAACCCAACTACTGTCCAATTAAATATCATCTCACCTTCAGAAAGACCTTTCACCCTTTCAAAATTAATTATTACTCCCCATGTGACCTCTTCTTTGATGGAGAAGGTTGGAACATCATCATCAACCTTCGTACACTCGATGCATACAAGCCTACCAGGTTGCAAGAATGGCAAGCAATATTTTGGAGATAAAACAATGTTACGTACATCCCTCTTTAAGCTCTTATATTGTTCTAGAAGACTATAGTATCTCTCAAGGCTATCTTCTTCTTCAATCACAATTGAGTCTCTCTCCTCTTCAAGAATTTTTGCTTGTTTCTGGCAAGAAAACGGAAAAAATAAAAACAAAACCTAAAAGAACTTTAGGGAGAGGGAGCCAGGAGTTGAGCCAATTGACAAACCTCAAGATCAGGAATTGCACGATCTGCTTGAAATTGATAGAACGAGTCCCGGAGAAGATTTTTAGGATCAGCATCTTTACACCGTATTTGATTTAAAAGCATGTTATAGCTTAAATGGAAGGCACTGACATACACAAACAAGGAGTCAACACAATGTTGGAAGTAATACGATGATTAAGAAAACTTTTGTCTGTGTGTGGTGGGAGATAGGGTGACAAATAAGACAATGCTGAAACGGCGGTGTTCATCGATTTAACCAATTATTCATTTTTTAGTAGTGTCAAATAGCTGCATAGTTGTCGACAATGCATTATTTGCAGTCTAGATATATACATGACATAAATATTAATCAATGTCTTTTTTTCCTTTACGCACTGCTTCTTAATGGAAAAGAACATATTTCTGATCCTCTAAGAGGAAGAAAGATATTTTACTCAGGGTGTTTGGAAGATAACTACCCCCAAAAGGTAATTTGTTTCAGCTTGACAGCACTATATGAAGCATGTTTTGACTCGAGATAATCTCAGCAGAAGGAACATACCCATTGTTAACAGATGCTACGTGCCAACAAAGTATAGAAACCAACAGTCACCTCCTACTACACTGCTCAGTTGCTACAGATATCTGGAACACACTCTTTTCGGTTTTTGGACGAAGTTGGGTCATGCTAAGGATGCCTACATATTCTTGGAAAATTGGTAGATACATCAGGACAATCTGGAATTTTTTTTTTTTTGAATGGAAAATCTGGAAACGCTTTGTGCCTGTATTTTTTGTTGTGTCAGGACAGAAAGGAAAGAAGAGTTTTGATTGAATATCAACTCCTAATCAGACTCTCAAGGCCAAGTGCCTTCTATTTCTATATAGCTGGAATAATTTCCCCCGTAAACTCCCCTGACACTTTTTTGGACTTTGTAGCTCCTTATCTTTAGCATAGGGCACATCGTAATGGAACTAACAAACTCACTTTTGTTCTTACTATCTTTTGTACTATTTGCATCTGCTCGATGCCTTTAATGAAACTACTTCACCCAAAAAAAAGTTTTTGACATAAATGAGTAGTCAAAAGTGGCACCTGTTTAATGCATCAGCACTTCCTTTTAGCATGGATTTCGCTGTAGGAGGTTCAAGCTTCTCATCAACCATAAGGATGCAGATCCCACGTTCATCAATCCCCCGACGACCAGCACGACCACTCATCTGAATATACTCACCACTGGATATCCACCTAAACTTGTCTCCATCAAATTTGCGAACATTTGTGAAGACAACAGTTTTTGCAGGCATGTTCAGACCTATACTGAAGGTCTCTGTGGCAAACAAACACTGCAAGAAAATCACATAAAGCTACATGATCAGAATTGAGCTTAGAAGAGTCTCTTACGGAATATAAAAGTATACTTCAGTGCAACTGCACAAGTATCTGTGTATCTATGACTTCAGAGGTACTTTAAGATGAGGTAAACAAATCTGGAAAAAAAAAAGAGATGATATATATTCCTCTGGCACCTTCATAGAATGATGACAGAAGTATTTCAATGGAGAGGCTTAGCAGGCATTGAACGCTTAAACAGGAGTGTCGATCCCAACTAAAACAGGAGAGTGGTCAACTATGAACAAGAACTTTCTAGCCAATATAGAAGGCAACACTAATAACCAAAGCATCATTCTATCACTTAGTTGAGTTATTAATACGTCTGCATAGAACATTCTAATCTACTCTATAACTGCAGAAGAATTTCAGGACATAAGATAAATATATCTTTAAATGCAAACATAAAGTTAATCAACTTCTTGGATTGAATGAAGTCAAGTAGTAACATAAAAATCCTTCTCCTAATAGGATTAATTCTTTGAAGCAATTAAAAATTATTTTCTCCCTACCTTGATGAATCCTTCTTGGAACAGGATTTCAATCACTTCTTTCAATATAGGAAGCAAACCAGAATGATGCACACCAATTCCACGTTTCAATAGGGGAAGCATATTTGAAACCTGCAATGTCAATTATCAACAATCAGTCATTAGTAAGAACTCTTTCCAAACATCAAGAACATGAAGCAATAAATTTATCGCATAACTGAACCATCCCAGGAATACATGGTGGGGAAAGAATGGTAGTACTTAGTAGGAAAAGAATCTCAGAGTTTCACTTGTAACCACATATAAAATCTCACCTAGGGCAACTATAATAAAAAATAAATATAAGATGCTTACCTGCGGCAGCTTTTTATCATCATCCGATAAAATGTCCATAGCACTCCAAAAAATAGTTTCAATATTCGCCTTCTCATCATCATTATTAAGATCCATTTTAGCCATCTATTTCCATATTGAAAAGGCAGAATAGTTAGCGCATTAAGCAAGACTTAGACAGAAATAGATGTTCTCATGTGCCAGCAAACAAGTACATATAATTCTACACAATGGAAAGCTGGTTCAAAGATGGATGGAACAAAATATACTTCTACAGAATGAATATCATTTCAAAAGTTGATGGCATGTTCTCTTCTCTCTGAACCAGATGAAAAGGGGATATAACAGAGAAGAAATTAGGAAACTCGTATGTTGGTTTACCAACCTCACACAGAATAGCCATCTAAGAATTATTCGCTTCAGCAAAAGACACAAAACATACCTGCATTGCTAGAAATTCACATTCTCTTTTGCTGAAGCTGAAACATATTACAGGATCATATTGCCGCTGAATAATCATTTTAACCATCTTGAATATGTCACTATCTTCACCAGATTTGCCAACAACCAGACCCTTCTGCCACTTGCCATTCTCTCTTTTCTTATCCCCTTCATTGGCTGGAACAAGAGCATTCAAAGCTTTCTGAAAACTATCCTCACGAAACTTCCCTTTTTCATCAACCACTAAGTATAATCCATCACCACCAGAAGGAAATATATAATGCTGAAGTGGTGTGGGTCTGTAGTCCGTATAAACAATGTGACATGGTTGCTGATGGACCTGCACTATGACAAATCAGGTTAATATCCAACCATAAGATTCATAAACAGGTTAAACTTTCTGAAATTAGTATCTCATCAAAACAAGGATAATTCAAGATCAGTCTTTCTTAGTGGTGAACTATTTCAATAATAAAAGCTCTCCTCATCGTCTCCCATTGTGGATAACTTGATACCTCAAGTCTGGGCTGACCAGAATAACTGGTATACAGCTATTGATTTGCATGCAGTGTCACAAAGATTCATGAGACATGGGTCTCCTGAAAGATAGGGAAAGAGAGGCAAAGAATTAGAGTAAACCCCCTAAGCTTCTACCTTATTTAAGTTTCTTTTGCAGGTTTCCAGGATGAACTAATGGTCCAGCTGTACCTAGATAATGGCCTTGTGCCCGTATGCCAATCTTTAATCTACAACTCTTTGATTGGATTCTCTCTCAAAGCATCACCCTAGAATCTAGATTAGCCCATGCTCCAATGTATTTATGTTCTTCACTAAAGGGAAGTGAGGCCATAAATGACCATCATATACTTGGGCTCAATCGATACACATCACATAAAGTACGCATAATATAACAGGCAAACGTTCTATTTTTCCTAATTATAAGTAGCAGGCAAAGATTACAACATTTCTCTTAAACCTTGAGTGTAACATCTCGTAATCAAATAACAGGAAAAAAAAATTAGAGGATGTCACACTCAAGATTTTAAAAAATATGCTAGTTCACTGCATATCATATAGCAATCAATAATCTACACATCAAATCAAACTAAATAGGGATTCACAATAAAGCAAGGTTTAGAGGACACAAGATAGAAACCAAGCAATTTAGGAGTTCAACACTGACTCATGAACACCATAAATGTCAGATTATTTGAATTATTGATGAAACAAAGCCAAATCTTCTTCACCCTTAATACATAACTCTAACATGTCCCCACATATCCAAAAAAAACGTGCCACCATCCTCCATATCTAAACACGTGCAAAAACTATCTACTTCGTGAAGCAGTTAATTAAGGAAGCAAGATTTGTTTTTTTATATTACTTTCAAGACTTGAGCAACGTCATTAAACCAAACAAATTCTTAAACAGAAGACCAAAAGCAATCAAGAAATACCATTACTCCAATTACTCCCTCCGTTTCAATTTATATGACACACTTTCCTTATTAGCCTATTCCAAAAAAAATGACATATTTCTATATTTGAAAATAATTTAACTTTTAACTTTTCATTCTACCCATTTCACAAAATTACGTGAGAGAAAGAACCTCTTGGTGGAGTAAAGTCCCCCGGAGGACAGAATAGCACTTCTTAGTGACTAGTCGGCATGGCGTAAAGTGAAGATTGGGTGGAGTAGAAAAAATTCCCTTATGGGGTATTCCGAAGGTGTAACCTAGGCCTGACTGGGTCTTTGATTTCAGGACCATTTCTTGAAAAAAAAAATCTTGCAACTACGAAAACCTTCCCTTCTTCAAGCTCCGTCCCTTCTTTCAAAAATCAAAAAACAACGCTAACGAGCAAGAAAACAGATGCGCTAAGGCGCAACTTCATTCCTAGTGCCAGTCAATCAAGATTCGCCATCAAGAGAGGGAAGAGCCTTGACTTTAGGTTAGGCCGGTCTCATCATTCACGCAATTCCCCCGTCCATCGATTGATCACGCGAGTACGCATCCAGACTCGCTTAGTCCATCGCTGCTTGGCTCTACTTCAACCCTTAATGAGCAATTTTTATTGCCACACAAATGTCATGACCCAACAAAGCTTTTACCCCTTCATACTACAAGTGTCAAAAATCTTCCTTTTTTTTTTAAACTCCATACCAAGTCAAATTACCTCATATAAATTGAAACAGAGGGAGTATATCCTAAGAATCACTCAAGTAAATTTTCGGTTGTTGTCATTAATATTAAAGTAGGACACCCTATCCAAGAACATATCAAATGGTTTCCAGCATCAAGCATGCTAATCAATATCAATGTGTTTATACAAGTTATTGATACCTTTGCAACCCAATCCGCAAACTCTTTAGCATTCGGCACCGTGGCCGAGAGGAACACAAAACGAGAATTTTCCGGGGCCATAACAATACTTTCCTCCCAAACCACGCCTCTTTCTCTGTCACGCATGTAATGTACCTCATCAAAAATAACCCAAGCCACCTCCCTTATAACATTTGATCCGTTGTACTGCATACTACGCCAGATTTCTGTAGTCATTACCTGAAACCAAATCACGCCTTAGCCTACTGAAACCCCAGCATGAATAAGATAATTTATGAGCAAATGCATCGAACAAAAACTGGGCATACCAAGCAAGAAGCATTAGGATCAATCGTGACATCTCCGGTCATCAAGCCCACATCTGAAAACTCCTCTTTGAATTCTCTATACTTCTGATTACTAAGAGCCTTAATTGGTGAAGTATATACTACTCGCTGGTTATTCTTCAGACACATGGCAATCGCATACAATGCGACAACTGTCTTTCCAGCTGACGTGTGTGCTGATACCTACAGACACAACTTCAAATTCAGTCCCACCACCATTAAATATAAGATAATCTAACTAAGATGTATGTGAGATAAGTGTCAAATTTCAGAGAATCTGAAAAAAACTGTAATTTGCCCTAAATGACATTATTTGTTACTCATGATACGGGCCGAATAAAGACCCCAACTAATTCGGCATTTAGACTTATCTTGATTGATTGATTAATTCATACAATCCCAAGCAAGTTGGAGTTGGCTATATGAATATATATTACTGGCTGCCAGCCTGCAGCATTGATTAAATTAAATTAACTATTGAGTAAAATGCAAACTTACCATGACGGATTCACCATTATTAAGGCAATTGATAGCTTCGGATTGAAAAGGGTCGAGGGTAAAAGGGAACTCCTTAGCAGGTTTTGCGTCTGGTTGAGGCAAAGTTGAAGTTGAAGCAGAGGGAACATAGCCTTCCGGATATGATACATCATGCACACATGCAACTGCCTCATCCACTAAACCATTTTGTTTCATCTGTTTACTTGGAGGAGGTATAATATTACCCTCATTATTGGACAATTCTTGCGACTTCCTCTTAAAAGAACCCATCTTTCACTATTATTAATCCACAACCTAAAGCAATTCAATCAAAGAAAGCCATATTCAGTCAATGAAAACCCTAAACGAACATGTACAAAATAAGAAATCAGAAAGAGTGAGGCAAACCAAGGGCGGCTCTAGGGTAACTTGCCAGCCCCCAAATAAGTCATCATATAATAGTATATGTAATTTATATTTATACAATTATTGATAAAATATTTTAAATTTTAATATTTATTTAAAATTTGGTAGATGTAGGATTGAATGGGTTAATATGATAAACACTAAATTAAATAATATATTATCTTCTCGTCAATTCTATTTTTCTTTCTTTCTTTTTTTATATTTTTTACTATTTTACTTTTTAATTTCAACTTAGATTCTCTAAATTAGCTTCTTTTTTTTGTCACTTTTTATTGATCCACACGACAAGAGCGGGTTATTCTATTGGTGAACACCTTCCACTTTCAACTAAGAGGTTGTGAATTCGAGTCACCCCACAAGCAAGATGGGAAGTTTTTGGAGGGAGGGAGCCGAAAGTCTATCGGAAACAGTCTCTCTACTCTAGGGTAGGGGTAAGGTGTGCATATACACTACCCTCCCCAAACCCCACTAGTGGGATTATACTGGGTTATTGTTGTTATTGTTGTTTATTGATCCACACATCATTAGGCAAGTTCCTTTGTATCTCATTTTTTTTAACTAAGAAATCTCAAAGACAAGTATGGTAAGGTTCAAAACACTATCAATAATAGGCTCAATCCTTTTATCATTTTTACTTAATGTTATATGATGGGTTTAAAGTATCTTAGAATTATGTTTTGATGATCTAACAAACTTATTGTTAGGAACCAGATAAAGGACCTGATGTACACTTGGTATATATCTCTATCAATGGACTCAAGCTAATATGTGTTGTATGACTTCAGATAGAAAAGAACCAACTCAAGGACCTGATCCCTTGGAGCTTCCCTGACAGCAGTACGAATTCAACTCTACAATTGGAAAGTGACTGCCTGCACTGTACATGCTACAGTGCAGAAACAGTGCAGCAGTCACTTCCCATTGGGAAGGACTTTTTACCAACCAAGTGCTTACATCATCCAAGTGATGTCATCCAAAGGACATTAACAAGAAGCATTACAACAAAAACATAACTTGAACACTCTGTGAATTGATTCAAGTACTCCAGATCTGATAATCAAGTATTGAAATCACAAGTGCATCAAGAACAAAGTACAACACTACTACGGACCAGTTCCTACAACAGGTCTTTTGTATGTCCTTAGTTGAGTTGTAACTTTGTATTTGTTCTTCATTATAATTCCTACTTTGCTTATTTAGAAGCTTTAATTAGGAATCTTGGAAAACCATAAACCCTTAGTGTTTGTGTCATGACTAGAGTTAGTCATGAGTTGAAGTCTTTGTAATAGGTGTATTGCAAAGTGGCTTGTAATAGATGTATTGCAAGTTAGTGAGGGATTAAGAGTATAATTCCTAGGTTGCAATAGGTTGTAATCTAAAGATTGCTCAGTAGTGAAGTTGAAATCCTACCAGTGTAGGTCGTAATTTTTTATCCTCTTGAGCAGGGATTTTTCCACGTAAAAATCTCTCATGTCATTTACTTACTGGTTCATTAGCTATTTTTGTGGGAACTGGTATAGGACCAGGTCTCTATACAGTTTGGTGGACTCATACATTCTATCAATTGGTATCAGAGGGGGTTCTTTCTTAAAGGTTAACACCTAGAAATGATCCTCATCATGGCTGCTCCACCAAACTTCGAGGAAAGACAATCAACCTATAGACCCCCGAGATTCAACGGCCAATAATATGGCTGGTGAAAAACTAGAATGCATGACTTTATAATGGCAAAAGATTCCGAGTTGTGGGATGTTATTTGTGATGGTCCATATGTCCCAACAAAAAGGTCGGAGACCCTGCTGTAACAATGCCAAAAAATAGGAAAGAATACAATGACGCGGACAGGAAAGCAGTGGAGAAAAACTTTCGTGCCAAGAAGATTTTGGTGTGTGGCACAAGACCTGATGAATACAACAGGATCTCAGCCCATCAATTCGCCAAGAAGATATGGGAAGCTTTACAAACAGCACATGAAGGAACCACTCAAGTAAAACAGTCAAAGATTGACATGCTCACCACTGAGTATGAGCTTTTTAGAATGAAGGATGATGAATCTATTCAAGACATGCACACACGATTCACGTCTATCATAAATGAGTTACACTCGCTTGGTGAAATCATCCCAAGGAACGAGCTTGTGAAGAAAATTCTTAGCGTTCTGCCCAGCTCCTGGGAGAGCAAAGTGAATTCCATTACTGAAGCCAAGGATCTGCAAACACTGACTATGGACGAGCTGGTTGGAAATCCTAAGACCTATGAGATGAAGAGAAAGAAGGACATTGAAAGAAGAGAACCAAAGAAGGACAAGAACCTGGTACTCAAAGCTGAAAACAATGATTCGAGTGAGGAGGATATCGATATGGCATACCTTACCAGAAGGTTTCAAAAAATAGTTCGAAGGAATAGAGGCATACCAAAGAGAGGCAGTTCCAGCAAACCAGAGAATTATGACCTCTGTCATAAATGTGGAAAGCCAGGGCATCTCATTAAGGATTGTCCTCTTCTGAAGCAAGAACATTTCAAGCACAACTCTGATAAAGCAGCCAAGAGGAACCCGGTTCCTGACAAATGCTTCAAAAGAAAAAAAAATAGCTGAAAATGTTGTGAAGCAAGCTCTTGCAGCATGGGGAGACTCCTCCAGTGAATCAGAAGAAGAAAATGATGCAGGTGATAGTTCCACTATGGTAGTTAAAAATGAAGCAAATGAATATGACTCAATATTTGCTTTGATGACTCAGTCAGACGATGATGAAGATGATGACAATGATGAGGTAAACTTTAGGGATGTTTAGAGGAATCTGAAACCCTACTCTCCCAAGAAACTCATGTCATTAGTTAATGTCTTGATTGATGCATATCATAGCCTTGTGAGTGATAAGGATGCCTTGACCATAGAGTTAGGAGATGCTGAGCAGACTAGAGATGACTTAGTGGTTTGTGTAGTTGACCTGAAGGAAACTATAGAAAATCTGAAAAATGAGAAAGAGGTTCTAACAGAAAAAATTGCTAGTGTAGAACATGAAAGGGATGATTTAATGGTAGTTGTAGTTGACTTGAAAGAAACCACAGAGAACTTTAGTAGAGAAAAGAGTGCCTTAGTAGAGAAAGTTGTCATTACTGAGCAAGAAAGAGATGATCTCTTAGTGATAATCGTAGACCTAAAGGAAACAATTGAGGGACTTAAAGCAGAATATAGGCCTGGAAATTCTGAAAAAGGGGAAGGAAGTAGCTAGTGAGGCACATATTAAACTTGAAAATGAGCTGAATAATGTGAAAACTAGTCTGTGTGCTGAGCTTGAGAAAAATAGGCAGCTTCAAGCAGAATTGGAGAAAGTAAAAAATGATCTTGAGAAATCTCTTAAGTGGACCTGGTCCTCAGATGCTATTACTGCCATGTACTTTAATAATGGTAGAAACAAGCAGGGAATAGGGTTCCAAAGGGAGAAAGTTCCCTATAACCCTCATAGAAAGTACGTCATTGTACCTAATAACTGGCTTTGTACCCATTGTGGGAACAATGGGCATTTCAAGGAAAATTGCCAAGCCAAAGTTCAGTCTGTTCAGAAAAACAAAGTTTTTGCTGAAAAAGTAACTACTAGAAGAGGACCAGGTGCCACTCACAAAAAACGCATGTTGCCTGTATGGACTAGAAAAGCTCTCATTCATCCATTTTCTCATTACAAGGGACCCAAACTTATTTGGGTTCCTAAATATAATCCTTGATTTATTTGTGCAGGGAATAGTGAAAGGAAGCAATCAACAATGGATTATGGACAGTGGATGCTAAGAATATGACTGGGAATACCATGGACTTCCTTCACTAAAAGCCTTGTAAGGAGGGAATGTATCCGTTGGAAATGGGAAAAAGAGGTACATTCTTGGTGTTGGAAAAGTTGGAAAAGTTGGAAAGTCTCTCTCACACTCAATTGAGAACGTGTACTATGTAAATGGTATGAAGTATAGTCTCTTGAGTGTTTCTCAAATCTGTGATAAAGGAAACAAGGTGGAGTTCTTGTAAGAGGTGTGCACAGTTACTAATCTGGTAACTGGTGAAGTGGTACTAGTGGCCAAAAGATACAAGAACATCTACGTTGCTGATTTCGAGTCCCTACAAAGTGGTGATATGTGCTTCTTGAAAGCAGTTGATGATGATGCAGAGTTATGGCACAGAAGGATGGGACATGCAAGCTTCTCTTTTCTGAACAAGCTGATACAGAAGGACCTGGTTCGTGGATTGCCATATACAAAATTAAAAGAGCACAAGTGTGTGATGCATGTGCTAGAGGAAAGCATGTGAAATCCTCATTCAAGCCAAAGAAGGATGTCAACACATCAAAGCCACTTGAACTCCTTCATATGGATCTGTGTGGCCCTATGAGAGTGACAAGCAAAGGAGAAAAAGGATATATTTTTGTGATAGTAGATGACTACTCAAGATTCACTTGGACACTGTTTCTCAGAACCAAGGATGAGACCTTCGAAGTATTTGTAGCCTTTGTCAAGAAAATCCAAGTGAAGATGGAATCAAAAGTGGCTTGCAACAGATCCGATCATGGAACAGAATTTGACAATGCTAAGTTTGATAAATTCTGCAGTGAAAATGGCATCACTCATAACTTCTCAGCTCCAAGAACTTCACAGCAAAATGGAGTTGTAGAAAGGAAGAACAGAACCCTTGAAGATATGGCCAGAACAATGCTTATTGATAGTGGGATAGCCAAAAACTTCTTGGCAGAAGCCATAAATACAACCTGCTACTTGGTGAACATGTGCATGATCAGATCCTTCCTGAACAAAACTCCCTATGAACTGCTCAATGGAAGGAAGCCCAAGCTGACTCACCTAAGAACATTTGGGTGCAAATGCTATGTTCTCAACAATGGAAAGGATCAGCTTGGAAAATTTGACGCCAAAAGTGATGAAGGAATTTTTCTGGGGTATTCCTCTCAAAGCAAAGCTTACAAAGTTTACAATAAAAGGACTTAGTGTGTGGAAGAAAGTGTT